GCCATTTCAACCAATCGGCTGCAATTCTATGCCTAACATCTTCATCAATGCCGCCATCCTTTTGTAGCATCGATCCTAAATACCGGAAAGTCTCCTTCTTGGCCACCACTTTTCCGTCAAGGCTAACGTCACCATCATCATGAGTAGCCATGCTGAAAGCGTACGTCATGTACTCGGTCTTCGTCCTACTAAGTCTGAAGCCTTTCGACTCTAACGTGTCCTTCCACAGCTCTAACTTTCTATTTACCCCTGCCCTACTCTTGTCAACTAGCACCACATCATCAACAAAGAGCATACACCAAGGGATATCACCTTGTATGTCCCTTGTGGCCTCATCCATCACCAAGGCAAATAAATAAGGGCTCAATGCTGACCCCTGGTGTAGTCATATTTTAATTAGACCCCACATGTTCGGACACACGTCATCGCGTCCTTGTACATATCTTTGATGAGGGTAATGTACTTAGATGGGACTTTGTGCTTTTCTAAGGCCCACCACATGATATTCCTTGGTACTCTGTCATAAGCCTTCTCAAGGTCAATAAAGACATGTGCAAGTCCTTCTTTTGGTCCCTATATCTCTCCATCAACTGTCGTATTAGTAAAATCGCCTCCATTGTCGACCTTTCAGGCATAAACCCAAATTGGTTTTGGGTCACATTCATCACTCGTCGTAGGCGATGCTCGATAACCCTCTCCCAGAGCTTCATCGTATGGCTCATCAACTTAATCCCACGGTAGTTACCACAACTTTGAACATCACCCTTGTTCTTGAAGATCGGTACTAAAGTACTTCTCCTCCATTCATCAGGCATCTTGTTTGACCGGAAGATGAGGTTAAAAAGCTTAGTTAGCCATACTAACGCTCTGGCGCCCAAATATCGCCACACCTCAATGGGGATACCATCAGGGCCCATTGCTTTACCTCACTTCATCCTCTTCATAGCCTCTCCGATTTCTGCCTCTCGGATTCTCCTCACCAAGCATCTATTGGTATCCTCAAATGAGTTAACCAACTCCAGGATAGGATCCTCACTCTCCATATTAAACAATTTCTCGAAGTACTCTCGTCATATGTCCTTGATCTCCTCATCCTTCACCAGTGGCCGATCCGACCCATCCTTGATGCATTTGATTTGGTTGATGTCCCTTGTCTTCCTCTCCCGAATCCTAGCTATTCTATAAAATTCCTTCTCCCCCCTCCTTCGTGCCTAGGCGCTGATAAAGGTCATCATAGGTCTGACCCTTCGCTATACTCACGGCACGCTTTGCAGCCCTCCTCGCTATTTTATAGCTCTCAATGTTGGTGGCACTCTTGTCAAGGTGGAGACGCTTGAAACACTCTTTCTTCTCTTGAATAGCCCTTTGCACCTCGTCATTCCACTACCAAGTGTCTTTCGCATCCTGCTTGCCTCCCCTACTCACACCAAGTACTTCTGCAGCCACCTTTCGTACACATGTTGCCATCTTTAGCCATATGTCATCTGCATCTTCTCCTTCTTCTCAAGACCCCTCGCCTAACATCCTATCCTTAAACGTCTGTGCCGCTTCCCCCTTGAGCTTCCACCACTTCGTAAACTATGTTTGACTACGTAAACTTTATAGTACTTTTTGAATAGATGATTGAATTTAGTCCTTTATAAACAAAGGAAATTACAATTTGGTCATCTATGTTTGACTACGTAAACTTTATAGTACTGTTTGAATAGGTAATTGAATTTAGTCCTTTATAAACAAAGGAAATTACAATTTGGTCATCTATGTTTGACTACGTAAACTTTATAGTACTGTTTGAATAGGTGATTGAATTTAGTCCTTTCCGTTCCTACAAAGATTACAAAATGGTCCTCGAATTGTCGGAAATTCAAAATTTGACCAGAAGTAGTCACACGAGTCACATGTGATAGGATTAACTATTCATTTAATTAAATGTGGAACTGAGAATCCTTTGTGGCACTAAAATTAACACATGGCGCCATAAAATTATACCAAAAATTTTAAATTTCTACATGGCAGACACTGAAATAAGCTAAATAGTTTTCATAGCATAGTCGAATTACTTTAAAATCTTATAAACAATTATTGCTATAATAATAATAATAATAATATTTTTCAATTAAATTATTTGACCAGATGCCTCTAAATTATAAAAACTACATTACCTACAAACTTTTTTCAATCAATATAGTGATTCATATATACTTAAATAATTTATATTTATATTATTTTATATCTAGAATTTTAATGTTAAATTCACACACATTAATGTTTTAGGTATACATGTGCATGTATTACTACTTTTGATAGTATAATAAGTTGCATAGATTGAATCCTCCAATAATTTGTGATACCTAAATGAAATGTGCTGTTAAAATCCTCACCCACACAATCACGAATCAGCAACATGAAAACGTGGCGCCACTTGATTGGTGGTTTTCTGATCTTTCCTGACAGGTCAGCAAATAAAGTAAAAAAGACCCAAAAAAAAAAAAAAAAAAAATACAAAATCAGAGAAGAAACACCAGCTTCAAATTTGGCCTGCATTTTATCTTCAAGCTCTCTCACATGGTGTTCTTCTAGCTCTCTACCAAGAAACTTGAAGATCGGCGGCTATGGAGACCCTCAACGCAGCCGCTCGGACTCCATTTCCGGTCCTCGGCAAAAGAACAGAGCCCAGGAAGAACCCATCGCAGCCCAGCTGCTCCATTCCTCGCTCCAAGAACCAGTGTTTGTCCCTCTCTAGAAGCTTCCATGGCGGCCTGGTTCTCTTATCCTCACTTATCAGCTCGGAGATCGCTAAAGCTCTCTCCTACGACGAGGCCCTACAGCCGTCAATCGACGGCGCCTCGGGGATCGATATCAACAGCGCAATTAGCTTCGCGGCCGAAAATCCGGTGGTAATCGGCGGCGGACTGGCGGCGGCTCTGGCCGTTCCGTTGTTGGTCTCGCAGCTGGTGGGGAAGGGCAAGGCGTGGGGCGTGGAGAGCGCGAGGAGCGCCTATGCGAAATTGGGCGAGGATGAGAATGCCCAGCTGCTGGATGTAAGATCGACGGTGGAGATTAAGGGAGCTGGGCGGCCCGATTTGAAGGGCTTGAAGAAAAAAGCTGTAGGGATTGTGTACAAAGGGGAAGATAAAGTGGGTTTTTTGGATAAGTTGAGTTTGAGGTTTAAGGAGCCACAGAATACAACTTTGTTCATACTGGACAAGTAAGGATTTTGATTTTTGAATATGTTTATTGTTTCATGGTATCTGTTTATATTTTAGTGGGAAAAGGTTGTCAGTTTTAGTTGTAATCTGTTCTCTTCATCTTGAGATAATTTCTTTATATATGTATGCTTGATCATTCTTTGTTTTGCTTTATCGTTTTATTTCGAATTGTCGTTGCATGGAGTATATAGTTCATTGAGTTAATTTGGTTGTGCTTGTGCTGATCCTATATAAATGTTGGGGATTGAATCTGTATTGATCTCGACTAGCATTGGAGTTTATGTGGCCTTTTACCGTGTTTTAATCGAGTGGTTCAAGATTGCTAATGATTCAGTCTGTGGCTTGATTTATAGAAGAATCAGGGGAGTTATTATCTGTTTCTCATGGGAATGTTTAAATCATCATACGAGCAAGTGTGATTACTTTAGGACCAATGTTATAGTTTAGTATTAGGAGAAAGAAGCGCCCTTTATTTGAAAATTGAATAACAAACAAATTTGTACATAATATGGTATATCTCATGCTGCGGATATTCTAACGTGAACTAAAGTTACGAAATGTATGTTAGGGTGCAATTTGGCTCGTCCCGAGTAATATCTCCTTTGGAGTTTAACTAAAATCGTAACATTTTATGTTTTTTCACTTGTGATGAAGCTAGATTTGATGGGAACTCGGAGCTCGTGGCCGAGCTTGTGACAGCCAATGGCTTCAAAGCTGCTTATGCAATCAAAGACGGAGCAGAAGGACCAAAAGGCTGGAAGGTTATTGCCATTTTATTATTATCATTACTATTAATATTATTATTTGTTACATGAACTCACGCAGATTAGGACTTTATGCAGAACACGGGACTCCCTTGGATACCTCCTAAGAAAGGGCTGAGTTTGGACTTCAGTAGTTTAACCGATGCTTTTGGGGTATATATATACATACATCTCCGCTTGTTTTTATCATTGGTGCTTATTACTTTTTACCGAGTAGCATGAAAGGCTTTTATACACTTTAGGTTCTTGTAGATTCTCTTGCTCGGTTATTTTTGTTGATCCGCAAAAGGAACTTAGGAAAACACTAAATCTTCTGCATTATAAAAAGTACAGGAAGATCACGCGACGAAAAATTTTAAATCTGAGTGAATTAGATTCCAAACTAAAAATGCAGTACAAAGTATTTAACCAAGACTGAATGAAGATGACTAATTAATTTTATTTTATTTTACTTATTTATTGATTAATTTTTTGAGCCGGATTTCCAGGAAGATTATGAGATTGTGCCTCTTACCCTTGGCATTGCTGCTGCTGCTGGTCTCGGAATTTTTACATTTACAGAGGTCAGACACTCGTGATCTAAATTATAAACTAAATGGTATATGAGTTATGTTACATTGTTCGATTATTTTTCAGGTAGAAACAATTCTCCAAGTTTTGGGTTCAGCTGCTCTTGTTCAGTTTATTAGCAAGAAACTTCTATTTGCTGAGGTTTGCTATAGCTCTTTTCT